CCGCCACAGACTTGGTCTCCCGCATCATGGCTGTGTTGAGAACTCGCTGTCGGAAGAGGGGGCGGGGGGGGGGGGGGGGTAGTGGCGGTCGAGAACGGCGGCGTCTGAAGGGTGAGGGAGATTGAACAATGAACACGAACAAACATGAGTTACAAAGTTTGAGGGACCTGGATGAAAATAGCTACTGATAGTGATCCCGTTTATTCTTACAGGTTGAATTATGGCGTCAATTCTTAAGCGATATCCGCTAATGTACAAAGCGAATGATCGGCACATTAACGGTGCACGATATGTCACTCGAAAATTTTACGATTCATCCGATAGCCCTCTAGCACAATAACATCATCAGCTGCACCGTCAAATCATTTAACCGGTTGGCAAAATTCCGCATATCAGCGCTAAAATGCAACGGAGGAGCATTTGGAGACCCGAAAAAGTGATACTGGAGTACGCTCAAACATCTGATTTCCAATCAGAACCCTTACCAACCCATCCCTCTCACGGCCGTCGTAATCCAACTCACCTGGAAGGTAGCACACCACTCCGGCTTGAAGAACTCTGGCACGGGCACGAACAGATACGGAGCGAACCCGTGCACGTGACAGCACACAGAGTGGCCCTCGGATGTGACGCCGAACATGCGCATTATGGGTATCAGACCCGTCTGAGCGCCCGGCATACCTGGCAGAGGGTAACCTGCGGGCAAGGACAGACACATTTGGGGCATAGAGAACATCGAAAAAATGACAAGATGTGACAAAAAATTGTGTGATTCGGGCAATGAATGACGGCACATAATTTACAGATGGACTTGATGTCGATGACCAGCTTACACCCAAAACATCTATAGATCATCACTACAACACACGAGTTTTTGTACGATCATCGTGGGTTTATGTTATTGCTACAAAACCCACGGACAGTATGCAAACTGGTACTCACCACATATTACCATCGATTCTCCAGCCCAGAGCACATGTATCAACATCAGAGGTCAGTAAGACTGATACACCATGCTCCTCCCCACCCTCCCACTGCCCGACCGCACTAACCGAGATAGTAGTCTGTCTCCATCTGCTGGAATGTGATGTCGTCTGCAGCCGGGTCCAGCGGCGGGAGGGCCGGGCGACTCCATCGCGCGTCCACCTCCTGACTCTCTGGAGCCTGGAGTCAGAGTCACAAGGGAGTCAGTCGCACAAGGGATGCTGGAAGAGATGGAAAGAGAACAACTGACAGCCAGATAGTCGCTTTGACATCACATTCAGAGCCTATGTTCATGGCTCATAGCTATGAGCCCTCATGAATTCACTACCTACTTTTTCTAGGTTAGGGATGTGATTGGCTTGAGACTGGCAGTAACTGTAATGCGTCCAATGCCTTCATATGGGCTGAAGTTCACAACTCAAAACAATAACATGCAAACACTGAAGAAACATGGACATTGTTTGAAATTCTCACAAAGCATAACTGCTTAGCCTAGCCCAAACAATGACAGAGCATCTGAATTAAATCTTCTGCATTCTTCCAAAATTAAAAAGAAATAGATACTTGATTCCAGGCTAAGGTCCATGTGAAGGGCAATGTCAGATGTCACGGTGCATTGACTTATCTTGACAGACATCCTGACCATCAAACATGGCCAGACACAGCCAAGTCTTGCTGGCTTATTTCATTGAATTTTTCTCAAATCCATCCTTTGATACCCTTCCTCAAGTCATTGAATCAATGAGTCAGGCACTGACTTGTCTATGGTCTAACTGCCTAGCTTGGGGCAAGATGAACACCTTGTCTAGTTTTCCCTTCTTCATACTGAAATCACAAGATACTTATGGGTTGAGAGAGTAAGTTCAACCAATTTAACATTCCCCCAGATTTCAGCAAAGCAAGTCAAGCATAACTCTGAAAATATTATACTTACTGGTTGCAGTGAGTCTTCTGAAGCAATCAGTTCACTCTCTTCACTCTCCAGTAGCGCCAGCTCCTCCTCAAAGGTGGACATGGGAGCATCTTCATCCTCACCTCTGTAATGTAAGAAAAACACATTGCCATTCAGCATCCCATGAAATCACCCCATGGAAGAGAGACCTGTCTCCTTGCCCTTAACCCGCGCACCGACGGGGGTCTGCGCCAACTTAGTACCGACGGGGGGGGGGGGGGCGGATGACCGCCCCCCCCTGAGATCTCGAGAACGAAGCAAGATAGCGACAAGCGGTAAACGGCATCGGATACGCACGGTCAAGATCTACAATTTTTACTAAGGTCATTTTCAGGTCAGGTCAAAGATGACGTCACAGAGGTCGAAAAAGTCAAAATGGCGGCGCTGAATATGGAGAGAGTTTTTCTCGAATAACTTTCGAATTAGTCAAGATAGGAACAAACTAAGGGCATCATCGTGATCCTCTCGTCAATCCGCATCGAATGATATATATGTTGACCTCGAAAGGTCAAGGTCAAAGGTTGACCTCAGGTCACGTGACCTCGAGGTCATCATGTATATCATTCGATGCGTCTTGACGAGCTGAACACAATGAGACCATCCACGCGTCTGTATCTTGTTCCTGTACGGAGTTATTGGCCAAAAACCTTTGGTGACCTTTGATGACGTCACATGACCTCACAGCTGCCCAACAGCAAAACAGACCTCAAGGTAGTGAAGGTTGATCGTATATGAAGTCATGTATGGTATATGGGGCCATTCCGACCCGTTTTAGTGGTAAAAACAGGGAGTTGATTTTTCCTCCATTGACTTATAATGGGGAGGTCGCGAAATTGACCTGACCTTAGGTCACCGATATCAAAATTCCGAGATATACAAATTGTGGCTACTAATGACCTAATAACATCCTGCGACTTTCAAAGGCCTCCGACATCTACTGTAGCTCTGGCACGGTGACAAAGTTGCAAGAAAGTGACTTGAGGTTGGGTCATTCAAAGTGACCTGGTGACCTGACCTTAAAAGGTAGGAGGTTCAAACTTGCACACCATGTGTAAAATTAATAAGGGTATAGTCATACCAAATTTCGCGGCGCGGTTTTCCCGCTATTCGCGAAAAACCTCAGGGGGGGGGGGCGGATATCCGCCCCCCCCGTCGGTGCGCGGGTTAATACAGGTGAATGACTACATGGAAAATTTGTATTGATGGTAAATGATTGGCATTGGACATTGGTTAAATCAGATATACCTTGAGCTATGGTAATAGGGAAGGTAGTTCCAATGTCCCAATAACTGCAATATAACCAAATACTAGGTGATCATATTGACATTCTTTTACTAAAATACCAGTCACCTTGCACCAAAGAAGATGTCTGGTCAGGTGAAGTAAAGTAAGGTAGATTGCATGTCAATATTTCTTTGATAAATTTGGAATACCAGATCAAAATGGTACTGAAGAACCATTTGCAGTACCTACACAGGAACTGGAACAGGTCGGGGTTTGTCACTTCCTGATAAAGCTATCGCTGAATTACCTGAACCTTTTTGAAGCACCTCCAGCTCCATTGCTGTATGTTTTGCGCTTGTCCATTTCACCTGAAACTGAAGTAAAATAAGTGTTATTACTTAAAGGTAACCTTTAATCACAAATCTCCAGTCCACTTCTAATTCTGTTATTGTTGTGTTCCTATAACAATAATTGTTCTACAACTCCTCAACTATAATAAAAAATAATCCGGAGCTCAGCCACATGGGGCCTGGGGGATTGCAGCGTCCAGACCACCTCAAAAATTTTACTTTCATAATGTAGCTTAATGTATTGGTATGAGAGTGTGCACTTTTTATTAATCCTGCCAACCCCGAGACCGTGGCAGAGCTTCTGAAAACCGTGCAATGAGGTATATGCAGAGGAAGATAATGCAAGTATCAGTAATGGTATGGAACAATGGAACAAAATGGTATCACCCATTTCAATCTTAATATAATATATGACTTAATCCTGGCGAACCAGCAAAATTATTTCAGAATTAAAACTTGAACTGGGTTGAGAAACGTTCCAAACAGCCTGAAGGTTGGGTTGCAAAAAATCTACATTGAAATTGAAATGCCACCAATCCTATATATAATTGAATGCCTCCACGGCCGCAACGCTGCAGCACAGCCACGGAAATGCTATGCTACAAACATCCATGCACGGTCTATCATCCAAAATCTCAAGAGAACCCGAGAACACACCCACAAACAAGAGGCAATAATGCAAAATAATGTTGATAATGTTTATCGCACAGTTTATCGGTAAGAAAATATTTCGCGCGCAATCCACAATCGGTCACAGCTGCTTAGTCACGTGATTCAGGAAAGCGCAATGATTGGTCTATGGTTGGAGCTAGGACCACTAAAAAACTGCAATAAAATCGAAATCGATTATACTTGCAAGTGTATCAAAATATTCGGAAAGGCAGGCATCATTGTTTCAATTTGAGAGGGAAAACACATGACAATGAAAAGAAAAATTATAAATGTACCATTTACGCTTGCCAATGCAATTGATGTGGCACTGATTTTCTGTGGCACTGATTCCATGGCGACGGCGAATCTCGTCGGAAGGTAGAAAGTACTGCTGTCAGACTCATATACGGTATCATTATGGCTGGGCAGATAGAAACAGGATGTCTAATATCAGTGATCTTCAGTTTGCAATCAAACCATGGAAAAGCAAAGATCTGATGCAATCGCTTCTATGCAATTATTACGTAATATAGTTTTGCGGCGATTCTGACGCGCTGGAAACTAGCTCGTTCACGTGAGATTTTTCAGCAATTTTACAGCACAATTTCTTGTTATGAAATGACATCAAATCTATTTTTTTCTAGTTTGAGGGTATTTTTTGAAAATATATTGCCTTAATATATCACAAATATCTTCAAACATATTTGTTGCAAACTAATTTAAAAGAATTAAAAAACAAATGCTGAACAAATAATGTTTTCAAATATTGTATGACGTCATTTTTAGACAGCAAAAGTGTTGAGATCAAAGCAATATTACAGTAGGCCTTGGAGCATCACATGTGCGCAAAACTCTGCGCACCCGAGCTTTGATGTTTTCCAAGCGACGGAAGCTCTCGAAGTTTGGCGTCGGTGCGGGTGTGTGGCAGTGCTGGTTGTTCGTATTTTACGATGTCCGCACTGCTTAGATCAGCGAAGTTTTTGCGTCTTTTCAGTGGTTTCGCGCGTAACTTCACAGCTGGACCCGTCAGAAATGAAGCCGACAACTTCCTCGGAAATCACAAACCCCAATGGCAGGGTATAGACACTAGGTAAAATGCATATTTTATTATTATTATTGTTTTTTGGATATTATCAGGTATCTCACTCTGAAATGAAATGGAAAATATTGATAAACTGCTTGATTTAATGTATAACTTCAGGAACCTAATGGATTTTCTATGGCATTTTCTATTTATATGGCATTTCTTTCTATGGCAGTCGCGAGTGTTATTGTTATGATCTGTATGATTACCTTATTTTTCAGGACATTGTCCACACAACCATCAGCTGTGCCTCTGACAGTTGAGAGCAGTAGTGGACTCCAGACACTTGACAGAGCACTGCAGAAATTGGACTTGGATATCAGGAAAACTGGTCGGATCTCGACCAGGGAAGTGGAAGAGATTTATGAGGAAGTCAAGGTCACAGGTGAGCGGAACATCAGTGCCTAGTAATGAAACTTATGTAAATAGTTTCAGAATGATGCTCATTGCTCACCTCATGGCTTTCCTTGTTGATACCTAGATTCTAACTTGCCATGTATGATTAAATTCTTATACCTACCTAGGTTTCTTATCACCGATGCATATGCTCTCATTTTCTGAAAAAGATTGTTCCACTTTTCCCTGAGTCATGCTTGAAAGTATTTTGTTTTCCATTCCAGGTGCCATCAGCAGCTCACAGAGCTTGCTGTTGATCCGTTGCTGTGGTAACCTGGTTGCGGAGGAGCTTCCCGAACAGAGGACTCAACTGGCACAGAACATATGGCAGACACTCCAGTCCATAGGTCAGTACTGTCCACTGTCTGTACTAAACTATCTAAACTCACAAAATATTTCCATGTGCATCTGATTCTGCCAAGTGTCTATTAAGTCACTTCTTAGTTTTTTACAATTGCCCTGGATAACTTATGCTATGATAATTACCTCCAACACATTTTCTCTCCACTCTCCCTCTTCTGCAGGTGTCCCTATGGACATTTCCCACTACAACGCGCTGCTGCGTGTGTACTTGGAGAACGAGCACCCTTTCTCCCCGAGCGAGTTCCTCTCGTACCTGCATGCCCAGGGCGTGGAGCCGAACCGCGTCACCTACCAGAGACTCATCTCCAGGTGAGGACGGGCGATCGGGGCGGCGGCGGACGACTGGATGGTGATGTCGAGACGGTATCGGGGATATGCGGTGATTGGTGACGGTTCGTGATCGTTGGTGCTTACCGGTGGTGATGGGGGTAACGGGCGTTGTTTGGTGACGGTTGTTGATCAGTGATGCGTGACGCTCGATGGTTGGGAGCGGTTGTTGAGAGTGTTGACGGGTAATGGTCGATGATGGGTGACGAAGAACATTGATCTGGGGACCAGGATAGGGGTTGTGATCGGTGCAGATTCAGTGGTTGGTGGTTGTGACTGTGGGTGGGGACTGGTGACGGTGATTAGTTACGAACGATAATTTCCGTTATTTCGGTCGGTGGTGGGCTAATCAGTGACGACAGCGGTGATGGACCATGTGGTGATCGGTCAGATTTACGGTAACGTAAAATGGTGCGATTTGTGAGACCGTGCACCTGGTGCCTGACGATAGTAATCTTGATGTTTTTTCGGTAATCGCTCCTAACCGTTTATTTCATGGTGCAGTGACTCGAGACCGTACACCGACATGAGTTTGGACGGTGCCTGTACAGGGTGGACCAAAAAGGATGGAAACATTTTGAACTCGCATAAAATATGTGTTTTTGCATGCAGGTGACTGAAAATGATACCAAACGAGAGTACATTTCGTGGAAATTCATAATGACATCTCTCTCATCTGCTTTCTCTCGTTTTCAGTCTCCCACAGCAAATGTTCGAAGAGGCCACTTTTGCGAGACAGGCACAGAGCGGCCCGCCTGGCTGCTGACGCGATAGCCCGATGACACATGTCCGCTGGTTTGGCTCGCACAGCCTTGGTGATCACTCTCTTCAGGTAACAGATGCCTTTAGAACCTTCCTTGTAGACCTCGCCTTGAGATGACCCCACAGGAAAAAAATCCATCGGGGTCAGGTCAGGTGATCAGACAGGCCAGTTCCGACAGGCACTGCGGGATATCAGCCGGTCACCAAAGTGGTTCTCGCTCCACTTGAGCGTTGTTTCGCGATGTGATGAGGCGCACCGTCTGGCTGGAATCACATGAGGTCCATGAGACTGCCATACTTCGTTTGGGCTCACTTCAACAACTTCTTTAGCGTCGCTTGGTAGCGCTTTTGGTCGTCAGTCACGGTGTTGTCGCTCCCATCCTCGAACCGAAGTGGAACTGGCCTGTCTGTCTTCTCATCTGACCTATGGATTCCTGTCCTGCAGGGTCATGTCGAGGGCCAGGTCTACAAGGAAGGTTCAGTAGGCCTCTGTTACCTGAAGAGAGCGACCATTATAGTTGTGCGAGTCCTACCAGCGGACATGTGTCATCGGGCTATCGCGTCAGCAGCCAGGCGGGCCGCTCTGTGCCTGTCTCGCAAAGGTGGCCTCTTCGAACATTTGCTGTGAGAGACTGAAAACGAGAGAAAGCAGATGAGAGAGATGTCATTATTGATTTCCATGAAATGTTCTCTCGTTTGGTATCATTTTCAGTCACCTGCATGCAATAACACATATTTTATGCGAGTTCAAAATGTTTCCATCCTTTTTGGTCCACCCTGTAAGTTCATGGTTGTTGATTATCGTTCGCTGACCAATAACTGATGGTGCGAGGGTTACCAGTAACTAGTAGCCAGTGGCCGGCGATGGGTTACTACTTAAAGTTAGTCGGTGACCGGTAATCGTCAGTCGTCACCGGCCACCCACCCAGTGACCACATAGTACGTCTGTTTACACACCACTGTATTGCCGTTTGTATCGTTTCCACGTGGTTTGGTTGGTGGTGTATGTAGGTGACAGAGCCCAATCCATCAACTGTTTTTGTGCCTGTTTTTACGTTACGGGGACGCTATTTGTAATGCGGGTGATTGTGTGGTCTCAGTTGTTTGATTCTCGGAGTAGAGTGCGATCCACGTGTGCCCCGATGACTGTGCTATTATGCATGCGGCGCGGTCGCAGTTACTCCGTTTTTGCGCCTCCCTCGGCGCCTGAAAACCATTGCAAGGGGCTCGCTCAGTCGTAGATCGTAATGCCGTCGGCAGTCGGCACGTTATATAACTGGAGCGTTGAAGCCGCTGCAATATCCACTGCGTTCTTGGCAGACGGGCTACCCTCAGTGTGTTTCGAAATATGGTTAGAAGGCGGCTTATTCAAGGTCATATGGCTGTGTAAGCTCAAACAAAAATAGCGGCGGTAAAATCGCGACACATCGAGTATCCACTACAAGCAGCGGCCGTAAACTGCAAGTCATGCTCGCCGCTCAATTCTACTGGTTGGGGAAAGGGGTGGGGGTGGGGTGGGGGGGGGGGAGTTGGCACGTCTTCTAATGACCGTGAAAAACCGCCGCAGCTGACGACCAGACCACGTGAAAGCTTCTGAATGAAGGGTGGGCGCTAGATACCAGGTAGATCATTGCATACATTGCCGGATAATGGGTGCGTAACATTACTACCCACCTACTTGACTCAGCGTTCAAGTCAAGTCTACTGTTCCTTCCTACATTCGAGTAGAACGCCCGGCTGACCCCAGACGCGTGTGCGAGTGCTCCGCTGTTTTGCCCGTTTTTCGGCGAGAGAGTGGTAGTGCGACCGAAGGAAATCTTCCGTAAGTGTAGCAGACGGTGGTATTGAAGTCCGTATTGTACCGACTCTATCGTCTAAGGCTGCAAAAGGGAGTTATTGCGATTTCGAACTGATTCTGATGTGCGCCACTTTCGTCGCAGTGTTCAAGCTTTGGCCGGTAGATGTGGGTCAAGCTTGGTAGAAGCGACACTAGCGCCTTCTTTCGAGAACCTGAGAAGACTGAAGTTACAGACCGCCGAGCCTTCCGCCATCTGTCGAACGGAGAAACAAACAGAAGTACTTGGTTGGGTAGACAGGTCTGAACCAGGAAAGCCAGTATGGGAAGATCGAAACGAAAAACCACGAGTCCCCTTATGAAAGAAAGTAACAAAACGAGAAGAACTGGTGAGGAGGATGTGGATGAACCAGAACAGACGGACATTACAGGTACAGAAGATCAAGTCGGGGACATGATCACGGACCTGAAAAGGTTCATACAACGAGAGAACGTGATCAACAACAAAAAACTGGCGGAAGAAATTCGGAAAAGTAATGAAGAAAGGATGACGGCGTTGGAGACCTCGCTAGGTTTTGCGCTGGAGACGAATCAGACTCTGGCCAAACGCCTGGTTGAGGTCGAAAGGAGAGCAGAGAAGGCGGAGAAAGAGCTATTTGTTAGTTCGAAGCGCATGGCCGTCATCGAAGAACAGGTGGACCAGCTACAGCAACGTGAACTGCGGAACTGGTTGGTCTTCAGTGGACCTGCGGTCCCACGGAGGTCGGCTGCTGGTCGCGGACGCGGTGAAGACCCGGCAAAGCTCCTGAATGCAATGCTTCAGGAGTTCATGGATTACACCATGGACATGAGGCAGGTGGAGGAGATGTACCGGGAGGAGAGGCTCATCCGCGTCCGTTTCAACGCTGTCGGTGCTGGTTCTGACCGTTATTTCCTCGTCAGAAACAAAATCAGGCTCCGGGGCAGCGGACTATACATTAATGAATGCCTCTCTCCACTCAGGCAGAGCATCTTTCAAGAGCTGACACAGCTGAAAAGAAGGCGCCAAATCAGCACCGTCTTCACGCGAGAAGGCATCTCATTCGTGGTGGTAGCACGCGGCGACCGTCCTCGGCCGATCCGTTCTCCGGCTGCGCTGGAGCGACTGATCCAAATCATGTCGGAGCCTCGAGACCAGAACGGCTCCCCAGAGCACCAGAACCAGCGCGCCGGCGCCACTGGAAACACCAGATCACGGGAAGCGGAGTGGTCAAGGGAGCCGGCGGGCAGCCAGACACAGCGCCTGTCACAATACCGGGACGATGACGGAGCGGCAGATCCAGCCCAGACGGAGATACCGACAGTGGAGACTGCAGGACCGGCGATGGAGACCGCAGAACCGACGACGGAGACCGCAGGATCGGGCTACAATGGCGGCGGACCGAGTCAGGGACGGACGACACCGGACGACGCTGAGAACCGCCACCCTGAACCGGAGCCTGCGGCTGGTGGGCGGCGGTCCGTTTCCGCTGAACCACGCACGGACCAGACGAGCGACGTCTTGAGGGAGGAAGAGCGTCCCGCCGAGAATCAGGTACCTGCGGGCGGCGTCCGTCGGCGTTTTGGGGGGGACATCCGCCAATTTGTATCTGTATCTGCAAAGCATAGCAAATGTGATTAAAGGTTAGAGTAGGTATGTCAAGAAAAATGGGTCAGCTGGGAGGCGTTCTGCCGGTAGGGGGTAAAACATCAGGTGGGGGGTCATACGGGAATGCGGGAAAGGGACTTCGCCGAAGCGGAGGAAAGGCTCACCTACCCGGAGATGCGATTGTAGGCTTCTGGTTTATTTTGTTCTGGGAGGCATTAAGTTTAGATATTGGCTATGTTTGTGTCGTGTTATTCAAATTGTGTGCAAATTGTTTATGGCACTTCTGGTGCGGAATTGCATGCCTTGTTTCGTGCAGTGTTATTGATTGGATGTGTGGTGTACATATGCATCAAGAACAGGCAGAGAGAAATGGGAGATCCCAGCTACGGACAGTAACAGCTCACTTGTTTTCATGGTCACAAGGATTTATATTTAAAATCGTATGGGTGAAGTAAAAATATGTTCCTTTAACTGTAGGGGATTGGGAACGTTTGAGAAAAGAAGAGATGTTTTGAATTACCTACGCCAGAGTGATTTCAACATATGTCTTTTACAAGATATACATTGCAAACCAGAAATGCAAAATTACTTCCGCAATGTGTGGGGCGGAGACGCAAAAATAGCAGGGTTTTCACAGAATTCGAGAGGGGTGGCAATTTTATCGAGGTCAGTGGATTTGAAATACAACGACATACGCATTGATGAATTCGGAAATTATATCATTGCAAGTGTGGTGATTAATGATCAGATTGAAGTTATATTAGTGAATACATATGGCCCAAATATAGATGATCCCCA